TGTCCAGCCCCGGGCGATAGGGGCGCAGGCAGGGGGCCCGGCCCTCGGTCCTGCAAACCCGACCGGGAGGCAAAGGCCGGGGCCACAGCCAGCCTCTTCCCCTGATCGGGCCGGCCCTCGCTCAGCCCCGCAAGGAGCCAAGAAGAGCAACACCACCCCCCCAGCAAAGAAAGAGGATCGGCCTTGCCGTAGCGCCCGCTTGCTCCCGCCTGGCCCCGGCCAGCGGTGCAGAGCATACGGGACCTTGCCCCGGGATTTGGTCTGCGCTCCGCCGCACAGGAGCCGCGAGGCAGGAGCGAGCCCCAAGGAAGAGCCTGCGAGCGGGAGTCCGGCTGTCCGGATGGCGGGATCGGGTCCCAGTTAAGCAGGGGGAGGGGATTTCCCCAAGCTGCGGGTGCGATCAGAGCTGCCCAGTTGCCCGCTCCGTGCCCAGCGCCCGGCTCTTCCCCGTCCAACCCGAACCGCAGAGGGCGAGAGGAGGGGGATGCTGCTCGGGGCGGAGGCCGGGATCTCCCCCTGTCCTAGCCCGGCCTCTGCCTTGGGGTGCCTTGCCTGCAGATGCGCGTCGAGCCTGCTCCCTCCGCCTCTGCTGGGGCCCTTCGGGCTGCCCCAGTGCCTTTATAAGGGGCTCCGCTTCCTCTGCCTGTAGCAAAGGGCAGCACCGGCTCCCAAACGCGGGCCTTGGCCCCGCACCCCGGCTCCTGCCCCTCTTAGCTCTCCCCCTTCCTAATCCGTAGTGATGAGCCCGCGGGATGGGCTGCCCAGCACTGGCGCTCGGCTACCTCCCCCGGAGACAACCAGCTCTCCAGCCGGAGACAACCTCCATCCGCTTCCAGCTCCTGTGTTGAAGCGCTCAGCAGGGCTCCCAGGGGTCAGGGGCAGCCGCTTGGCACCGCTTCCCTGCACCAGGGATGAACCCTGGGGACTTGCCATAGCCCAAAGAGGGGATCTGACATTAAATCTGACACGAATCGGAGACCGATGGGGAATAAAAGAAAGCAGCAGCAGCAGGACGATGCCTTGTTTATTTCTCCCTTTCCCAGCTCCCTCCCTCTCCTGTGCGGAGAATCCTCTCCTGGCCCTTCCCAAGTGTCCTGCTTGGCTGCGGAGCTCCGATGCTGGGGGTCCGGGGCCGGCCAGCACCATCTGCGTTTTCATGAGTCACTCCATGTGCCAGCAGTCATTTTCCGACATTCAGCGAGGTCCTTGTCTGATCTCGCGACCGCAGCGAGGGGGCCGGGCCGGGGGAGAGGGGGGAGAAAAGGAAATCGCAAAACATTTCCCCCTTTCGAAACGAATAAAAAAAAGAAAGAAAGAAAAACCGCAGTAGCTTGGCTTTCCTCGCCCGCGAGCCTGCCCCAAAAGCTATCTGACCAGCCCAGGAGGAAACAAGATGAGGAATAATATATTATAATCCCATTCCATTCATAATAGTCCATTCTTTTTCCAAAAGAAGTCGTGGACTTGCAGACAAGGAGCTCAACCTGTGAGCACATGGCAAGTCCAGACCAAGCATCTCGGGCACGATTTTAGGGGAGATCTATGAAGCCCATATACACATACAAACATGTAATGTGTGCATTATCCCTTATAGAACATATTTCTATGTACTTCTATATATAATTATATTCTACACACACAGGTGAAGAAAACCACGCTACTGCGGTTTTTCTTTCTTTTTTTCTAATATATATATGTATCAATTAGATCTTAATAGATCTCCCCTAAAACCGTGCCCGAGAGGTGTGTGTATGTGTGCGTATATATATGAATATGTATACATACACACACTACACACATATACACACATCTAGTGTGTGTGTACACACATACTATATATACACAAACGCGCGCACACAGTGCGTGTGCGCGGGAGGCTTAATGGATCTCCCCTAAAAGCGTGCCCGAGATGCCACGGGCAACTCAGAGGTTCTGGCTCCTTGTCTGCAAGCCCACGGCTCATCCAACGCCCCCCCAGCAACTGGTGATCATTAGAGACACATAACGACCCCGCTTGCTCCTGGTAAAGCTTCTTGAAATCCTCCCGCCCCACCGTAGAAGCCCCGTTGGCAACGGATTCCCTTTCCCAGGCCCCCTCCCACCGCCCCACCTCCCCCAGGTAAGCCCGGGAGCGATGCCATGCGGGGAGGCAGGGCTCCCACAGTCTCTTCCCCATTCCCCAGTCGGGAAAGAGAAGCGTATCTAATTGGGTCAATTTGGGAGCTATATTGTCTGCAAATGAACCGCCAGAAACTTTTTCCCCCTCCTCCTCCTCCTCCCGAGCAGGGCTGTTCTGCAGGGAGCACCGCTCCAGCGCGGCAATTAAGCGGGCGAGCAGCCCGCAGGGAGGTGGGCAGTTTAAAAGCTACCACTTCAGAGGAACGGAAGTTCTCTTGAAGTTCTTGGGGATGTGCCATTGGCTGGTCCACTTCATTATGGGAGACTAGACAATATTTGATATGTTATGACATGAACACTCAATTAGATCACTGAGTTGAAATACTCCAATCAGTGGCTTGATGCTAAGCAACCTTCAGAAGGTCCAGCACAAGGTCACAGCCTGTGACACATCAAATCAAAATCAATGGAGGGAAAAAAAAAGTGAGGCTTTTCCTCCACCAAACCAGGACTCCTGTTCGCAAATCACTTCCCTCAGCCTGGAATCTGCCATGCGGCAAGATGAGCTAAATTTGTTAAATGAACTGTCTTTTTGGTGGTGATCAAGAATAAGATGATCTTGAATGTGGCTTTTTTCCGGCTTGCGAAATTAGCAGCCCCTCGCCTTTTCCCAAGCAGCCCAACTGCGGCGTTTGGTGGCGGAGAGGGTTGGAAACCGATGTAAAATTAATGTGAAACCCGAACAATAAACTACCCCCGCCCCTTGTATTTCTAGAGAAGCGATCGGTGACCGGCGGGTCCTCCCGACACACGCAGCCATTACAGACCCCGCACCACACAGATACTCTGCTTTCCCAGCCTGCTTCCTCCGCTCCTGAAATCGTTAAAAACTCATCTCCGATCCGGCGAGCCGATGCCTTCCAGCAAGCGGAGCTTCCCCCACGGACTCCCAGTTCAACGGGTTGCAAACGGGGGGCGAGAAGCCAGGCACACAAGGCAGTGCCTTTAGCCCCGCTCAGCCTCCCCTTCCCTAGCGGAGAATCAGGGAGAGCCCCGTCCCTGCACCCCGCTAGATCACGAGCCCCCAGTGGGTCGTGGTAACAAGCCTGCTTGCAACAGCCCCTGGAAAACCCACTTCTCAGCCCACTGCCCTCAGACTTCCCTGCTCCCTCCAGTCCCGAGCAGAGAAGGGGGAAGAACCGGGGGCTTCCTCTGCTCGAGAAAAGGGCCGTATCCCAGCACATCACAGGAGGGAGGGGGAAAACCAAAAAGAGAGAGAAAGAAAAAGTGCTTTGGAAGAAAACAGGTCTCAACTGTGGGGTTTGGGGTTTTTTAAACTGAAGCTAGGGACTAAATAAGCAGCTCATATAACTACAAAGGAGCCATGTGGCCGAGCTGTGTCCTAAAATCCACATAAAAATAGTGAGTTAATTTGCTTTTCAGGGCTTTCAGCAGCTAATGAACCCCCGTGACCCAGCTGAAATAGCAGCTCGCTGTACCTAGAGAGACAGAGCTGCAGGCAGGTTGTGATGGGCAGGTGGGGGTGGGGGGGGATGGGAAACAATTTACAACCCTCATTAAGGAGTAATTAATTAGTCTGTCATTAATGGCTGCAAGCTGAGATAATGTCAACGGGGTTTTCACACAGTCTCCGGAGCCAAAAAATAAATTAAAAAAGCTTTCCTTGTTCCCGGGCGCGCGCGTGCGGGCGGCCGCGGGGCAGAGCGCAGCGCGGAACCGAGGAGCCGACCCCGCTGCCCCTGCGCCGCCCGGGCGTCCCCACTGGATCCAGTGGAAACGGGGCCTGGGCCCCAAGGGAAGCGGGGGCGAGAGGGAGGCGCCGCACTCCTGATCCGGCCCCGCGCGGGGAGCGGCGCGGCTGGACTCCGCTCCGGGGTGACCTGCGCTTACAAGCGGCCGCGGCCCCGGGCACAGCGACCGCACTCCCTGGTGCCCGCGATCCCGGCCTGGCCGCTGCGCTGGCGACCCTTTGCGGGGGTGGGAGAAGGAGCCAGAAAGCCGAGCCGGCCTGGGGTGAAGCTCCCCCCAGTATCATTTGCAATTTCCAAGCCTCCCCGGCGGGCTCAGGAGCGATCGTGCCCGACTCACGCCTGCAAAAGCACGGGCCCGGCTCGTCCCCACTCCGGTCACACGCGGCCGCTGCCGGGATCCGCGTCCCCGAGCTCGTGGTCCAAAGCG